GCATGTAAGCCCATATATGAAAGGACTTTGGAGTAACATACATGTCCATGTATCTTACTCCAGCTCTTTTTACTCTGAATGACTCTCTACTTTCCATTCTCCTGTCCCCGCAACACACTGGCCACCACTACTGCCATTTATCCATCAGCTTTGTCTTTTGCTCTCTTCATGTATTGTGACTCTAGGCTCCTCAGATTTGTACAGCACCCTGCAAGTCTCAGTGTGCCCCCTTCCTTCTGGTTTGAGACCTCTCTCCTGACCCCACAAACCTTCTCTTAGGAATTGCCCCCAGGGATACACCCAGTTATCAGGGCCTGGGTTTATATGTCTTAAGTAGTGTGTCAGACACAATCCACCCAGTCCCTAAAGCCGGAAGACTTTAAAAAAAAAAAAAAAGAGGACTTTTTTCCTTTTTAGTGCCTCCATCAACTTTTCTAAAATTGGAAAAATAAGATCTACTTTACGGGATGTTGTGAGGATCCATAAGAGGAAGAACAGGAAAGTAATTAGCATAGTGTTAGTCAGCGTTTGACTAAAGGAAGAAATGAAAATATGAATGATGTTAGGGCCCAGCTCTGTGAAGAAGGCTAAACTAAGCCTTTTGTATTTCATTTTAAAGTTCATTAGATTTAGGAGCAAATACTGATGCTGTGGAGACCAACTGCTCTTAATTATCTCTGAAAAACTGAAGAAGGGAAGATATACTAGAAGATTAGACTACTGAATTTCAAAAGGAATATTAAATTTGACAGAAAGCTGAGTTGGTTGTAAATCTGAGTTGGGCTAAGTCTTTGGGAAGACTCTGGAAGGGATTCTGGGTGGTTTGTGAACCCAGGACTCAGCATGGATGCATATTAGATCAGCTTTGGCTCACAGGGCTGATATGCTGGTGCATCAGGGAGCATATAGGCAGAATCTTCCTTGGGTTTTGCCTTAATATTTTACAGGGCTTTTTGTGACATTCTTATGGGGGGAAAAAAAGAGAAAAGATTGTATATTTAATTAAGTGGATTAGAAACTGATTATAGGAAAAGAAATTATCACCAGATCCCTCTCACTCTGAAGGGCTTGATAGTGGAATGCTATAGACCTCTGTCCTCCCTCCTGTCTTGTATGACATTTTACAGTCACTTGTGGGGGAAAAAAAACACATTTATATATGAGACAAGTAATGCTTATCAAATCTGTAGCTGACACAATACTGAGAGGTATAGTGAATATATTTTCTGACAGAAACAGGATCCCAAAACATAAGCTCCTTGAGGAAGGCTTCTGTTATAACCCATCCTGTCCAAGTTTGTATTCAGTACCTTTCCTTTCTAGTCCCCGAAATGCTGCACGTATTCATCAGTCTCGTATTGTACCTGCCTTGCAAGTGTCTCTATGCACAGGTCATGTGCCTCTGTCTTCCCAATTCCTCACACAGTGGGCAGCAGTCGCTAAATGAATGTTTGCTTCATTAAAGAACCAGTGGTGACCGCACATGTTGAGAGGCTGAATCTATCACTCTGAAATGTAATAAGGATAAATATAAAGCTCTGCCCTTAGAGCACTGCCCCCCTCCAAGATGAAACAAGCACAAGATAGTGGCTTTGTTTGTAGCATGCATGAAAAAGGTGTTTGGACAAGAATAAAATCACCTTGAAATGGTATCATATACTGCTTTGCCCTTCCCCTTCCCAAATTCAAAGCTAAGGCGATCTTCATCAGCTCGAATAAAAATACATAGCACCTACAACAAAGGATGTGAGAGTCCCTGTCTAAACTGGTTAGACTGTACCTGGGGTATTCTGTTAAAGTTCTGAGTGGTACATTTCAAGGAGGAAATCAACATAGGAACTTGTTCGGTGGAGAGCCACCAGGATTATGAAGGGTCTGAAAATCTTACCATAGTCATTCACTTTTTCATTCATTCAACAAATGGTATGTTAAGCGTCTAGTATTTTCCAGGCAGTATACTAGACAGTGAGTGGTGGAGGAAAAAGAAATCCCCATGGGCAATTGGAGGAAACAAAGATACCTGTGGAAATAAATAAAGACCACCCAAATGAGAACAAATAAAGCCTATTTATTCAAAGCTTGCTATAGCAAGGGAGTCAGCAACCATCACTTACATTTGGCAGAGGCTCGAAGGCCGGATGGGAAAGCTTTGCAGTAAACAAAAGAGAAGGCTTTGGGTATGCTTTCATTAGATGGAGGCTATTACTGGGAAGCCGGAGGCAGGATTAGTAGAAGCGGGGCATCCCATGTGATTAGTCTGGGGAGCGTAATTGGCTTTCTCCAGTTGGTCCTGAGTTGGAACAAAACTGGGGGCAAAAATTAAGGAAGCTATCAGTCATTGACCGAGTCCTGACCGTTCTAGGACTATTGCTATAGAGGTTGTAGGTAAGAGTCTGTTATCATATGTTCTGGCCATTGTCTGTATGAATGTTCAGTATCTACTAGTGAACACTGAGAAAACTTGGAAGAATCTGGGGTGACTGATAACTGTATTTGACATTGATAACTGTATTCAAGTACTTTAAGGTCTACTGTGTTGAAAAGGCATTTATTCTGCATGGGCCCAATGGATCAAATTAGAACTAGTGGGTGAAAAACAGTCCAAAATAAGAAAGAACTTTTAAAACTCACTGCTATCTAGATACAATCTCAGACAGTGTTTACCTGGTAAAGGAGAAATTCAGACCTAGGCTGGGTGACCTCTTGGCAGTGATATTGTGAAACAGATCACAAGCCTTGGCATGCACCAGAATCACTTGGTATCTTTGTTGGCGATGCAGAATGGCCTCTGTTCTAGACCTGCTGAATCTGATCAGTGGGGCATCATAGATGATTCTCTTATGAAACATTGTGAAAGACATGCAAACACTGGATGGGTAGCTGGACAATGTGACTTGTAAAAGTTCTTCCACCCTGAGTCTAATATCCCAATTTTTGCATGCCATAGTCATAATCAGTAAAGAAACCATTTGCTTGTTTATTTAACAATATTGATTGAGTAGGTTCCATTATGTCGCACTCTACTTTCAGCCTATGTTTTAATTCCATTAGCATGGTGCGTTCCTACTTGCTGAGGAGATAATGATGAAAAGAGCTCATTTGTTCATTTTTCAAAAATTTATTGAGCATCTGCTATGTGCTGGAGCACTGTGCTGAGCTCCAGGGAGATGGTGATGAAAGGCCCGATATAATCCTTTTTCTTTCAGAGCTTACAATAGCAGAAAAAAATAGAATATATTTATAGCAAAGGTGATACATGTTGTCATGAAAAGAAAATGGTGTGAAAACGATTCTTTTTGTTCTGCTGTTTTTCCCCACGTCCTAACTCCAATTACAATTCGATCAACTTATTTATAGAGGAATTAGTACTTCCTTTCCTCAGGTTTGTTTTAGGTTTTAAGTAAAAATGGAGAGCCTTTGCGCCTTAGTCCAGGAATGCTAGAAGACTTCAGAATGGCACTTTGTACTTAAAAGCTCTCCGCTGTCAGAACTGATGAGTCCACTGGTGAATAAACCGATCAAAGGGACATCCTTCGTTCAGGCTGACTGGGCATTTTAGAAAGTGATTCTGGAAAATCTGAGTTCTTTGGATTCTAATACCTCTTCCTAACCCTACTGAAATGGAGCTAATTTATGTTATATTTTTCAAGCGAGTTCTTATTCAAAACATCACGTCTTTTGCTGTGTGGTACACAGAAAGGAGCTAAGGATGGGAAGCAGCTGCCTAGGATCTAGACCTGGGTGTCCCACTAATTACTGTGTGACCTTGACCTCTCTGGGCCTGAGGTTTTTCAGAATGCTAAACGATCCTTAATTACCTCTAAAATTCTGATTGGGTGAAACTAAATGGAGAAGATATCATTTCTCACCTGCCTTTTCCTCCTGCCTTCCTCCCACCTACACAAATATATTAGAAGCCCCGTCACCACCATTGAATGGATACTGAAATAACTCGCTTTCTAATCTGGACATGCATGTGTTCCTTAGGCTGAAATCTGAGGCTTCAACATCTGCCTGCATATCCAGCTTGAATAACTGGACTTAGTCCAGGCCACTGTGAAATACGTCAGCTTCTTTGATGGAGAACCCTGCCCTGGGAGCACCCAGCAATCTGTCCTCACAGCAGGCACCTCTATAAATCTAGCTATTACCAAGGGTTTTGTTTCAATTATAAATAGACCCTCTGAGACCCAAGATATTGCCCCTTATCCAACTAATAGTATCCCCATTATCTAAAGACTTACATTATTCTGCCCACACCTGCCTGATCAGATTCCTTCCAGAGGGATACCAGCCAGATGGCGCTAAGTTCCCCCCATGAGGGGAGGGGCACTGTCGCCCAGTTAGTACCCTTGAATCGGGTCCTTCCTAGCCTGGGGTTGCTCTTCTATCCCTGATAGGCACGGTTGGAGTCCCAGTTTGCCTGCCATCAAACTTATTCAAGCTGTGACAGACATAGGTACACGTACATTTACACAGAAGAGCATTGAACCATTTTTCGTAATTCGAATTTTCCATAGAATCAGCCCACTCTAAAATTGTTATTTTATTTATTTACTTTTAGCTAACTTTCTTTATTGCCACCTTGTTTCTGACATAATCTGCACATGTGTTTTCATTTTAGGACTTCCTTGTCTAAGTCAAAACTTTTGGCTTTGGGAGACCCATGCGCTACCACCTACACCAAGAAGAGAATAGAAGCAGGGGCTTTATCAGTATATTGCATTATATTATGACAGCAACTATACTTTAGACAATGTCATTTAAAAAAATTTAATGTATAGTCACTGTTTACTCTGAAATTAGCTTTTAGGTTTAGTTTAAAATTTAACCTCTGGCTTTCAAACTTCTTATTTAAGTAATTGAGGAATTTGAGGGGCAATAATTTGAGGAAATTTTTTGAGGAAATAATGATCACGCTGTTCAGAGCAACGGAATCATTTTTCTTGTCCTCATATTTCACTCTTTTAAAATGTGTTTCACTTTTTGACCATTGCCAGAGCTTCTCCTTGTGAGGCTGAACTTCAGGAATTAATGGAACAAATTGACATCATGGTAAACAACAAAAAATTGGATTGGGAAAGGAAAATGCGGGCTTTGGAGACACGATTAGATCTTCGGGATCAAGAGTTGGCAAATGCACAAACTTGCTTGGATCAGAAAGGTCAAGAGGTACTGAATATATGTGTTAATTGTTAATTCCTCAGACAGTTATAAATAATATTTTATCAGGATATGTTTTTCGTTATGTATACTTTTTATCAGGCATCAGTGGTAGCCTTTATTGCTTGGAATTCTGTCATAGTGTGCTAAATGTGTTCTATCAAATAAGTGACGATTGGAGCCTCGACCCATCAAAATTTGCTGACGCAGATAAACACAATGTGTCAATGCCATCTAGAAAAGTAAACAGACATTCAATATATATGTGAAATAAATATGGTTTGCAAACAAAGATGTCAGTGCTTTTGCAGCTGTAGAAACAAAGTAGTTGTCTAAACCGTGTCTTTGGAAATGGCTTAGTTCAAGCGCCTCTTCAAATCTACTAGGAGAATATTTCCTGAAAGAAGTGAAATGTCAAGATGTGATTGCAGGACAAGGGAGAAAAGAGTTCAGTGAAGGGTGTATGTGTATATATGTGGGCACCCTCTTAAAAGGAGTGCCCCCAGCCCCTGCAAGATTGCTTACAGCACGTCAGTGACTAGAATATATGAGTGCTCTCAGGCTTCCAGAGGAGTTCCAGAAAACCATATACTTGACCTAATGCGGACTTTTGTGTCTGTGAATTTTTCTTCTGGGCGAGGCCTAAGAGCAGTATTTGCTTTAATCATAGACTAAACCATCATCAGTCATCTCGTTCTTCAGCCATCTCTCTACCTTTGTTGTTCTCCCAATAGAACTTAGCTTTAGACATCGTTAACTGAGTTATTTAGTTATCGGCATCTGGCTGCCCTTCATAGTAGAGGCAGGTCATCAGACCTAGGATATGTAAGGGACTATTCTCTTGCTTCCATATCTGTGATGACCCAGGTGTGTACACAGGTACCTCCCGCGCTTTTTCAGCAGACAAATTCTGCAAGCCAAACCCCTGAGAACTCCTCGGACACATCATTCTTTTCTTTTTAAAACGGTCTTCTAAAAATGTAGCCATTACTCCGTAGTGTCACCAGGGCAGAGCTCCGTTTGAAGGCAGTGGAGCCCCAAATAAAGCCGGACTGGATCCGCAGAGGCCCTGCCTGTGTAACAATGACATGGCTGCCTGAAAAGATAATGCAAAGTAAATTCTAAGCCTTAATTTAAACTGTGATGGAGACACGGATCTTTTGTCAAACATCCACACTGCCCTGTCCTAATGTGTACCCAGTGGAATGGCACCAGCAGTGTGGGGCTTTGTGACTTTAATTATTAATAGCTATTTTAAGAACTGCAGTACCAATATTTATTCTTGTTTGGGGACAGCAGTTTTATTTAAATCATGCTCATCCTTTGCACATTTTCTGCTTTGGTCAGGCAAAATTTAAGAAAAATCAAAATTAAGTTTTATTCTTGCTGCAGGTGGGGTTACTTAGGCAGAAGTTGGACAGTCTGGAAAAATGTAACTTAGCGATGACGCAGAATTATGAAGGACAGCTGCAAACCCTAAAAGCTCAAGTAAGGAAACTTATTATAATTTAATCTCATTTGATGATTTAACACATTTTGATATATGTTTTCACATATAAAATTATATCAAATTTATGTATTTATAAATTGTATTAATTTTATTAAAAAAGATTATTTTCAATACAAGTAAAATTCTTATATTTTAATGACGGGTTATATGTTTGACCCTGTCTTTCACTGTTTTATTAGATTATTTCTTTTATTAGACTGTCAGCTCTTTATCCCTTTAACTGTTAGCATAGTGCTAGACTACTACCTTTCTACTTATCAAGTGACTTGCTAATTAATTATATGATAATAGTTAGCAATGTGAACAACAAAAATAACTTTGCTATTATGAAATAGATAACTGAAAGGACAAAACTGGTCTTTATTACTTTGATACTGGTAGGGCTGTTTCATAAATGATAGGTCTTCTGAATAGAGATACTGATTTCTTTCTTACTTATTCCTCTACCTCCTCACTGTGCTGGCAAGCCAAAAGTTTTCTCTCCCTTACCACAAATAATACATAGGGCAGTCATTATCTGTGCATCTCAGATCTAGTGGATGTTATGTCTTGCTTTGCTTAATAAGTGAATCAATGGGAAATACAGTTTGATTATGGGATTTTTGAAGTACAAAGATTTCATAAGTGATAATACAATTAAATGAGCCTAAAGTAGTTAATTCTTTCTTAAGTACCTTCTTAGGGAGGTCATCAGCCATTAAGATTGGATTTGAAACATTTGATGCCACTTAATAAGTATAATCTTCTAAGACTAGCTAGCTCTTAAATTTAGACATTTTGCCTGCAATTCAAATAGCTGCCACTAGATGGTAGCTCGAATTAGGAAACAATGGTTTTTCCTAAGACTAAGCATTTAACGCTTAACTCAATCAACCTTGTTTTTTTCTGTAATGATAAAGCTCTAAAATAGCAACATGTATAGTAAAGCACTGTATTGTTCGGTATAAACAGAGACACCACAATCTGGAATAAGTTTGAAAAAAATACAGAAATGGAGATACAGATGAATTACCATCTCAAAATTATATTCAATTAGTTCAATCACTGCTTACCAGATCTTTAATCTCTGGGTTTTTTTCACGTCTGTTGTTAAAAAGTTGTGAGACTTGTTTACAGGTGCTGAGCAGTCATGTAATATAGGAATCCCTGCCGTTTGATGCTTTGCAGCTCTATTTTATTACTTGGCTGCTGGCTAACCAACAAATATCCTTACGGCAATTTCACAAAAATGTGTTCTGTGGAATGCTAATATTGAGAGTTTTGGAAATGCTGTTTACTTCTTCTCTGCTCCTGGACATTTACAGTGCATATTTGCATATTACAGGCTGTGAAAAGTCTTGCTTTAAACAAATCCATTTAGCTTCTTTAATCCATCATTTTTCAAAACATATTTGACCATGGAACTCTATTTTTTAAGCTAAAACCTGCTTATACTGTAGTACAGTATTACAGTGTAAACACTGTAAACAGGTGTTTCATAGAATACACTTTGGAAACACTACATTGTTCTTGAGAGAGCAGCCATCTGCTTCCACTGCAGTTTTCTGCTTTTCTTCTCGTGTTAAAAGAAAGGAAGGAAGAGTGTTAGGGAAGGAGAGCAGAAGAGAAGGAAAGAGGGAAGGAGGGAAAAAGAGAGAACTGGTTTACATAATAGCTTATAATATGTCATTCTTCTAACCAGCAAATGCTGTCTTGTGGCAAACATGCTTTGGTTGCTGCTAGCTCACTCTACTGATTCCTTCTTTGAAATTCCTGGTTTATTTACTATTTCATTTTCCTAAAATATCTGAAGGATACACTTTACCACACTCTTCTTTGAATAACTTAACTCTGTCAGAACTTTCTCATAGAAATTGTTTCCTTTTTGAAAAGATAGCATTTTCTTTTCCTTCTAACCATTATGAAACTAGGATTAAATTGTGTATATATTTGAGATTTTCACTTCTGGAAAGATGGAGTAGGTGCATTTAGATCCTGCAAATTAAAATTAGAAAGCTTGGACATTATCTATAAAATGGTATATGAAGATGCTGAGAGTGGAGGGAGGAAACAGGCCAACTAAGACCTTGGTACCCAAGGAGTGACATAGTGGTGAGTTCCCTGGGATTTCTCTTTGCCTCTTTTATCCCAGTCTGGGTTAACAGAGAAGCTGACAACCCAGACGCTCCAAAGGGCACAAACAAAAAGAATCCCAAGGAATGCCTGCTTTCTGCAGCCAAAAGACCGAGAAAAAGACAGCCTAGCAAGATTATACACTTTTAGATAATAACTGCTGTACTCCAGCCAAACACTACAGAAAAAGATTTCAGCCCCAAACCCATCCCTCCCCTCAGCACAGGCTGAGTAGACAGCCTCTCTCTCACCAGCCTGTAATGAGGTAGTCCAGGCTCCCCAGCCTGGGTGGTGTGAGAGAAGACTTGAGTGGAGAGCCAGGAATGTCATGACCACCAAGTTTTAACAAGGCCCTCCCCATCCCATGGTGTTAGTGGAGGCCATATGGAGAGCCAGGACTAGTATGCCCATTTGGTGGTGATGAAGCAATCCCCTCCTCTCTGAATGGTATCAAGGGAAGCCTAATAAGGAGTCAGGATGTTTACCACCTCTCGGTGGTAATGAGGCCACTCGCCCTCACTACACTTTCACTGAAGGACATGTGAGAAGCAGTAACAAGTCACCTACACCCCTCCAGTCAAGGTGGTATCAGTGAAGACTAGTGGGGATCCTGAACTCCCATTCCCACTCAGCAGGGATAAGGAGCGCCTCCCTTGGGTTACCAGCTGAGGCCAAGAGCTGAACTCCCCCTGCCCACTGGCAGTGATGAGGCAGCATCCCACTTTCCTTGCCAGAATGCCATCAGAAAAGGACGGCTGAAACACAGTCCCTAAAGGAACTCTAGTGTCTCATAGCACAATACCCAAAATGTCCAGGTTTCAATAAAAAATCACTCATCACACCAGCAACCAGGAAGATCTCAACTTGAATGAGAAAAGACAACCAAGAAATGCCAACACTGAGCGAATATAGATGTTAGAATTATCTGACAAGGATTTTAAAGCAGCTGTTATAAAAATGCTTCAGTGAGGAATTACAGACATACTTGAAACAAATGAAAGCTTTAGCAAAGAAACAAAACTATGAAGAACAACCAGTTAGAAATCTTATCTCTGGAAAATACAATAACCAAACTAAAAAAAAAAAAAAATCAGTAGATGGGCTCAAAAGTAGAATGAAGAGGATGGAGGAAATAGTCAGTGAACTTAAAGATAGCAGAATAGAAATTACCCGATCTGAACAACCAAGAGAAAACAGACTAAAAGAAAATGGAACTAAGGGACATGTATGACTCTAACAAAAGATTGGAAATTTGTGTCATCAGATTCCCAGAAGGGAGAAGAGAGGGGGACTGAAAAAGTGTTCAAAGAAGCAATGGCCAAAAAGTGTCAGAACTTGGTAAAAGATATAAACCTACAGATTCAAGAATCTGGGTGAAATTCACACAAGATAAATACAGAGAAACCAACAAGACACATCATAGGCAAAGTTCTGGAAACTAAAAGACAAAGACAAAAATCTTGGAAGCAGCAAGGAAGACATAACACCTTCCCTATAGAGAAAAATCAGTTGAGATAACAGAATTCTCCTCAGAAACCATGGAGGCCAGAGGATGTGGAACATTTTTCAGTTGCTGAAAGAACATAAATGTCAACCCAGAATTCTATGCCTAGAAAAAATATCCTTAGGAATGAAGGGAAAATCAAGTCCTTCTCAAATGAAGGATAACTAAGAGAATTTGTCACCAATAAACTTACCTTCAAATAATGGCTAAAGAAAGTTCCTTTAGCGGAAAGGAAATGGCAAAGAAAGAATCTTGAGACATCAGGGAGGAAGAAAAAACAATGGAAAGAGTTAAAAAATGGGTAAATGTAATACTATCCTTCTCTTTGAGTTTTCTAAATTGTTTGACAGCTAAAGCAAAATTTATAACAATGTCTAATGCGGCTCTTAATGTATGTTGAGGAAATACTTAAGACAATAATATTATGAATGGGTCAGGGCAAAGGGACATAAAGAAAAGTAAGACTTCACAGGGCGCCTGGGTGGCTCAGATGGTTAAGCGTCTGCCTTCGGCTCAGGTCATGATCCCAGGGTCCTAGGATCGAGTCCCGCATTGGGCTCTCTGCTCAGCAGGGAGCCTGCCTCTCCCTCTGCCTTCTCTCTCTCTCTCTCTCTCTCTCTCTCTCTGTCTTTTATGAATAAATAAATAAAATCTTTTAAAAAAAAAAAGTAAGACTTCTGCATTTCACTTGAACTGGTAAAATGTTGACACCAGTAGGCCGTAATGAGTTACATATATATAATGTAATACCTAGAGCACCAATTGAAAAAGCTATTCAAATGGATACATTAAAAAACACTATAGATAAACCAAAATAGAATTCTAAATAATGCTCAAATAACACTGAAGAAGACATAAAAGCTAAAATAGAGAAACCAAGAACTGGAAAACAGAAAAGAACAACAAGAGTAAGGCTTAAGCTCTAATATATCAATGATTACATTAAGGGAATTGTCTAAATACATCAGTTAAAAGATGGAGATTGACAGAGTAAATTAAGAAAATATGACCTAACTATATGTTCTGTTCCAGAAACTCACTTCAGACATAACTATATAGGTAAGTTGAAATAAAAAGGTAGAAAAATACCATGCAAATATTAATCAAAAGAAGGCAGAAGTGGTGCCAAGATAATTCAGTGGAGAAAGAATAGTCTTTTCAACAAACAGTAAAGAGACAACTGAATATCCACATGTAAAAGAATTAAGTCAGACCTAAACCATAGACAAAAGTTAACTCAAAATGGATTAAAGACCTAAATGTAAAAACTTAATCTGTAAACTCTTAGAGAAAAACAAAGGAGTAGATCTTCATGAACTTGGATTAGGCAATGATTTCTTAGATTTGGCACCAAAAGCACAAGAAAAATCAGATGAACTTAACTTCACCAAAATTAAAAAACCTCTGTGCTTCAAAGGACACCATCAAGAGAGTGAAGAAACAACTCACGAAGTGAGAGAAAATATTTACAATACATATATCTGATAAGGGACTAGTGTCCAGAATAAAAAAAAAAAAATAACTCATACTAGTCAATAATAAAAAGCAAATGACCTAACTTTAAAATGAGCAAAGATATGAATAGACATTTTTCCAGAGAAGGTATACGAGTGTCCAATAAGCATATGAAAAAAATGCTCAACATCATGAGTCATTAAGGAAATGCCAATCAAATCATGAGATACCCATTCACACTGACCAGAATGGCTATAATCAAAAAGATGGACAATGGCAAGTGTCAATGAGGACATGGAGAAATTAGAACCCTGTATGTTCCCAGTAGTACTGGGAAATGGTACATTTTGAAAGACAGATTGGCAGTGCCTTAAAAAGTTGAACTCAGAGTTTCCATATGATCCAGCAATTCCATTCCTAGTTGTGTACCCAAGAGAAATAAATATATATATCCACACAGAAACTTGTACACAAGTGTTCATAGCAGCACTATTTGTAATATTCAAAAATTAGAAAGAGCCCAAATGTCCATCAATTAACGAAGGGTTAAACAAAATGTGACATATCCATGTGACGGAATACTATTCAGCCACGAAAAGGAAGGAAGTATTGATCCATGCTACAACACTGATAAACCTTGAAAGCGTTATGTTAAGTGAAAGAAGCCAGACACAAAAGACCACGTAATATATGATTCCACTAATATGAAATGATCAGAATAGGCAAATCCATAGAGACAGAAAATAGATTAGTAGTTACTAGGGACTGGGGGCAGGAAGAAATGTATAATCATTCTAATATTCTGGGGTTTCTTTTTGAGGTAATGAAAATATTCTGAAATTAGGTAATATGATGGTTGCACAACTTTGTGAATATACTAAAAACCAATGAATTTTATATTTTAAAAGGTGATTTTTATGGTAGGTGAATTTTATCTCCATTTAAAAAAATTTTTTTATTATTATGTTATGTTAATCACCATACATTACATCATTAGTTTTTGATGTAGTGTTCCATGATTCATTGTTTGTGTATAACACCCAGTGCTCCATGCAGAATGTGCCCTCTTTAATACCCATCACCAGGGTAACACATCCCCTCACCCCCTTCCCTCTAGAACCCTCAGTTTGTTTTTCAGAGCCCATCATTTCTCATGGTTCATCTCCCCCTCTGATTTCCCCCTCTTCATTCTTCTCCTCCTGCTATCTTCTTTTTTTTTTTTTAACATATAATGTATTATTTGTTTCAGAGGTACAGGTCGGTGATTCAACAGTCTTACACAATTCACAGCACTTACCATAGCACATACCCTCCCCAATGTCTATCACCCAGCCACCCCATCCGTCCCACCCCCACCACTCCAGCAACCCTCAGTTTGTTTCCTGAGATTAAGAATTCCTCATATCAGTGAGGTCATATGATACATGTCTTTCTCTGATTGACTTATTTCGCTCAGCACAACACCCTCCAGTTCCATCCACGTTGTTGCAAATGACAAGCTTTCGTTCCTTTTGATGGCTGCATAATATTCCATTGTGTATATATACACCACATCTTCTTTATCCATTCATCTGTCGATGGACATCTTGGCTCTTTCACAGTTTGGCACTATATATCTCCATTTTAAAATGATATGAGAAAAAGAAAGCAAGTGACTAATATTAGATAAGTAGACACGATCATTCATAGCTTTATTTGTAGTAGCCAAAAACTGGAAATAACCAAAATGTCTCAATGAATGGTCAAGGAAACCGTGGTTCCATCCATACCATGGAATAATACTGAGCGATAAGAAGGAATGAGCTATTGATACAAGCATGCATCTTCATGGCATTACGCTGACTGAAAAAAGCCAATCTCAAAATGTCATATACTATTTGATTCCATTTTATAACATTCTCAAATGACAAAATTATAGAGATAGAAACAAATTAGTAGTTGCCAGGGGTTAGGGATGGGAAGATGAGAGGTATGAGTGTTACTACAAAGGCAGGGAGGTCTTTGTGCTGTTGGAATGGTTCTGTATCTTGATTGTGGTTGTGGTCACACAAATGTACATATGTGAAGATGGCATAAAACTATACACATGTATTGTACCAATGTGAATTTCCTGGGTTTAATATTATACCATATAATTATACTGTATAATTATTTCAAAATTCAAAATAAAATCGAAGAACTTTTATAAATAGTTATCTAGAGATTTCTTTACAGATGTTGATGGACCAAGCTGCTTTTAATTTATTATTTGAAGGTATAACAAGAAACAGAAAAAATAGCACTAAGTTAAAAGAATTATTGGAAAGGGGCACCTGGGGGGCTCAGTCATTAAGTATCTGCCTTCGGCTCAGGTCATGGTCCCAGGGTCCTGGGATCGAGCCCCGCGTCGGGCTCTCTGCTCAGCGGGAGGCCTGTTTCTCCCTCTCCCACTCCCCCTGCTTGTGATCCTGTTCTCGCTGTGTCTCTCTCTGTCAAATAAATAAAAACAAAATCTTAAAAAAAAAGAACTATTGGTAAGAAAAAGATTGTAGCAATTTGATACTTAAATTTATTTAAACTCAGATCAACATGAATAAGTAGTTTATGCTGTTTGTATCTTTTAAATTCAGTATTCAGTTTTCTTGAATAAAATATACACTTGTTATTTTATAGAATTTACTGAAATTGAAATTGTCAACACAAGATGGCACTAAATAAAAGAAAAAAACTTGGTTTTTAAAACTTGTAAGCTTTGCTACATACGGTTAAGACAAAGCTAAACAAAATATTTATCGGGAGAATCATTTAACTGTGCAGTTAGTGAAGTCCCAAAATTACATGAAAACCGAATGGTGTTCAGCTTCAATAATTTAGGTTTAATAATTGGTCGTGTCTTCACTAATCAGAACATTTAAGCATTACTGCATTTTCCAGTCATGACTTAAATCTTCAAAGAGGTGCCCAAGAAAAGAACTATCGTGAATTCGAGTCAGAAACACCAGCCACAGTGAGACTTTAGCCTTCTCTCTTACTTCCAGTTTTCCAAACTGACGAATAGCTTTGAGAAACTGAGACTGCACCAGATGAAACAAAGTAAAGTTCGGCGAAAGGAGTTACCACACCTCAGAGAAGAAATACCCTTTGAAATGAGCAATTTGAACCAGAAATTAGAGGTGAGCCATCTGTACTGTCTTAGTGTCTTTCATGCGTGGTCAGGATCGATTTCTGCAGCTGTGGCGGGCTGGCCGTCTCCGCTGAGCACCATGGCACGCACAGCTGTGGTAGCAAACACCATTACAAATCAGCTTCTCATTCACTGTATTTTCTTAGGGCACCTTCCCTTTAGGCACTTAGCGAATTAAAACATCACTTTGATTTATGCATCTTTTATACAGATCAGCATTTTTGGAGAGCCAAAAAGAAATAGAGTTCAAAGAAACTGCAGATGTTGAGTGAAATTGAAGGACATCCCTGGGGTCAGTTAAATTGAATATCTAATAAATCTTTTAATGGCTATTTAACTGTTAGGTACTTAAATCCCAAAGAAGCCTCATAACAGTTTTTGGAACAGGGCTTGGCGTTTCAGGGTTTTTTTTCTTAAAGACGTAGTGCCACTCCAAGAGAGCCACCATATATCACCCAGAGCTTCTGAGATCTGCATCCCTAAAAAGGCTTACTATTCACGGATGCACTTATTTTTATCCCTTAACTTCCCAACCTTGGAAAAAACAAACCCGCTATTTTTCTTCCCTGTGCTCTTGAGCACTCCTGCTAGAAGTCATGTAACAGCAGATGGATTCTACTATAAATTCCTGTTCTCTAACCTGAGCCCAGTTCCTAGGGCTTCCATTATCGTTCATTAATTGACCTCAAGTTAGCCCACTCCGTTCCTTCTTTTGTTCTCAAGCCCTAAACCCCAGCATCCCTCTCACCATCGCCAGCCAATGAGTTCCCTTTCTTCTTTTTAAGATTTTTTATTTATTTATTTGACAGAGGAAGACACAGCGAGAGAGGGAACACAAGCAGGGAGAGTGCGGGAGGGAGAAGCAGGCTTCCCTCTGAGCAGGGAGCCCAATGCGGGGCTCGATCCCAGGACCCTGGGATCAAGACCCGAGCTGAAGGCACAGGCCCAATGACTGAGCCACCCAGGCGCCCCAAGTTCCCTTCCTTCTACTTCTCCAGTAGATGATGGCTGGCCTCTCCCAGTCACCCGGGCAGATACTTAGGGATCTTTGGTCAGTTCCTTTCTCTTACCCCTCGTATTCCAGCCCAGATTTGCCCCTTTCCCTGGTGTCCTGCCTCTTATCTCCTTCCTCCTCTACTTGTCATTGCCTCGTTTGATTTTCATCATTTTACTCTTCAATTCACAGACCTTCTCAGACTTTCCCTCCAAAATATCTTTAAAAGAAGAAAGAAAATCTAGGATCGTAGTCCTAAAACCAGCCTGTTGCAAGAACTTTGCTGGAAAGCTTGGGTTTTAGCTTTTAAATTCCTGTATTCTGAATAATATATGTTTTTTTTTTAAATACAAAATTACTACTGCTTAGTAAAATTGACTCTATAGGAAAATGCACCATGTGTAACCACCTGGCTCTTATGGTGGTGTGACCAGACTGGCTTCAGAAATATCCTGGCCTCATAGAAGATGCCCAAAGATGTGCACTGTGATGCATATGCCTTCACTGAAAATGCAGAGATCAAGTCACTGATTAGCCTTTTGATTGACTTCTCATGGGGTTTTATGGGACAACCACAGTCATGTAAATTGTACAGCCAAAAAAAAAAAAAGAAGTCCTGAAAGTAATATTAAATACTTTTTGTGAACATTTTTATATTTAGGGAATGAAATATTTACATAAAATAGATTTCATGAATTTATAGATGAAATTAGTAGCAAAATATGAGCTGGGGCACCTGGGTGTTTCAGTCGATTAAGCGTCCAATTCTTGATTTCAACTCAGGTCATGAAATCGGGGTCATGAGATCGAGCCCCATGTCAGGCTCCATGCTGGGCATGGAGGCTGCTTGAGATTCTCTCTTCCCCTCCCGCCTCTGCCCTGCCCCTCCTCTCTGAGTAGGAATAAGAACAAAAACAAAAAACAAAAAAATCTATATATATAGATATAGATATTTATAACCTGATAGGTTTGTACTTATATAATAATCTTTAAGCACACTGTGTAGGGAGTCTAATCTATATAATTGTGGAGACACTTCATGTACCTCTTTTTACTTAGAGCCATATGAAAAATTAATGTGTAAGAGATGGGCTGTCCTAGTTTTAGTCTACATCTAAGCATGTTTTTCCTTTGGGACAAATGTTTATTCACTGGTATAGTAATAGAGAAGTGGGAAATAGCATGTTGATGTGGAAGAACATGACAGTTTATAATTTAAAACACTTCCTGACTGACTCATTTATTTGCCTTGTGATACAAGCAAGTTGTTAGTCTCACAGAGATTTCATTTTTTCACCAATAGATGGGGTTAAAATACCTTATACGTGACATTGTGGTTATGGGAGAAAAAATACACATATGTATACATTCAGACGCACACTGAAGCATTTAGGGGTGAGAATACATGAGGTCTGGAAGTTGCCTTAAATTAGTCCAACAAAGAAAGGGTGGCAAGAGAGGCGGAATGGAGATGGTTAGGTTGATGGTGGTCAAACTGGGTGAAGGGTACACGGGAGTTTTTTAAATCTCTACTTTTATGTAAGTGTGAAATGTTCATACTAAAAAGTTAAAGCCATCTTACAGGTGGAGGTTTGTAGAGTCCCTGACCTAGAACCATCACTAAAGAAAAGTTAGTTCCATCTTCCAGTATTTAGTAAAGGGATTAAAAAACATATATAATAATGGACTTCCCCTAGAAACTCTAATCTTAATGACCCTGACCCACTCTCAACCTTGATCCAGAAAACCTTTTCCAGCCATGGAGAACTTACTCTGGAGGTTTAGGCAAGTCTACAGACTCTCCAGAACCTGGCGGGGGACAAACTTCAGTCTCTGCAAAAATCCTCATAAAAGTCCCTAGGTCTCTGTATGGTCCCATAACTACTGGATATATTGTGCTGGCTTGAAACCAGTCTTGAAACCAATACATCTGTAAGATCAAGAAAGCCAGGACTGTTGTGAGCACCTGCTCATGTCTGTGACCCATATTTCTAGCCTGCTTGGCCTCATTCTTGACCTCATTTCTACCTGTTGTAGAATTTGTAAAGAATTGAGGTTACTGCCCCTGCCTCCTCTTAAAGCATGCTGGGAAATACTTATTTTCAAGATTGAGATTGTTGGGTGGTGTTGCTAAATATTAGTATTAACTGAAAGATATGAACCGTGTAAGTCAACCTTGCCCATATTTTGACTTCTGACTCCAGACTCCCTCCAAAATTAAAAGTAAACAGGAATTTTAAAAGTCTGCATTGTACTAATTTGAAATATTAGCTATTTTGTACAAGAGCCTAGTTTTGTAAATTCGTCACTATTATTGAAGACCCTGTTTTCATGTACCTAATTTTAAATTGTTGAATGTCAGAATCAAAGTCAATAACTTTATATGAACTGTTTCCATTTATCTTAATAAATATGGTCTGTTTATCATAAGGTATTATCATATATTTAAAAGGGGCCTAGCCACATTTTTCCAACCTTATGACCACCCCTCAATTTCAAGTCATCTTTAATTACTGTAAGGGGCCTCCTAATTTATAGCTTTCCTTGAATGATTGATTCCCAAAGCCATATCCTTTCCTTGTGTTAAGTTGTGAACATTCATGTTCTACGAATATACTACTTTGAACAAAAACTTGTAGAACCGAGTATGTTGTATCAAGCTCATTTCACCACTTCTTCCCCAGGGTAGCTCTGCTGGTATCCTAAATTAGATGGTTGTTCTGTTCCCCAGAATGAGTTGATTTTGGCTTTACCTTGGACAGTAGCTTTGAAAACCACAAGGGACAAAGTCACCAAATCAGTCCAAGCCTTATCCCATAAAAACAAACAAACGAAATTAAGGATACAGGTTTGGTGACAAGAATCGGAAGCTGTATCTAGTAATAAATCCAAGATGAGTGATTCAGTATTTATTTTGTTCTCCAAATGGGGAAAGAATGAATGTAGTTGTTTAGAATGAAGGTGTACAAATGAAAGAAGCCTTACTCATTGTGCTTTTAAGTGAATACTTTTCTTCAATTTATGTTTGTCCCTCCACTTTTTTAAAAGGAATTTAGAGCAAAATCAAGAGAATGGGACAAGCAAGAGATACTATATCAGACTCATCTGGTTTCTTTAGATGCTCAACAAAAATTATTATCTGAGAAGTGTAATCAATTTCAGGTACATTACCTAATACTATCCTCTTAGAAAAAATTAGAGGTTAACTATTACTGTCTTTATAATCAATCTTATTGCAGATGGAAATCCCAACCAAGGGAAAACAACCAGAGTAGGTCTAACACTGGGTAAAGTCCAAGTGCATGAAAATTTGTAATGGTGCATTTAGTCTACATGTCTCAAAGGATGGTACTTTTAAAAGTGACCATTGCTATTATATCATTAAATAACATATGTTTTTGCATGTCTATGGGCTAGTCACTTAGAAAGTCTAAGATTGCTTGGTTCCTGACCTCAAGAACCTTACAGCTTAGAGGTAGAGATAACAGATGTACATATTTACAGATAATTAATGGCAAGCAAATGGGAAATCCTTTTAGAGTTCAGAGGAGTGAGGGAAAAATTTGGGCTGAGATAGTGAGGAAATACCCTCCAGCAGGAGTAGGACTGAGGCTAGCCCTTGAAGAATGGATGTATTTTGAGAATGTATTTTGGGTGGTGGAGCAAAATCACTGAAGCAGGAGAGCAAAAGGCAAATTCTGGGTTTAGAAAATGGGCCCATTGGTTGGGAGTCCCTGTGGAAAGCGAGGAATGGTAGGAGATGGTAAGCCTGGTGAGTTGAATACAGATTATAATAAGCCTTAAAATCTTGGCCAAGGATTTGGAATTTTTATTAAAGCCAGTGAGAAACTATGGTTTTTGTTTGATTTTGGTTTTGTTTCTTATTTTTCATTCTTTACATTACTTAAATTACCTAAGTTATATATGTTCTCTGAATCTAACAATACAAAATAATCCAATGTAAAATTAATAGCATCATCTTCTCCATTCTTATCAATTTAATACAAACACTTAATAGGTGTTTTTCTTTCCATACTTTTTCTTTTGTTTGTACAAACATGTAAAGTATGTATTTGGGGGAAGTTGTATATTTTTTCCTTTTTAAAATTTTGTTGTTTTAATAATTATCCTTCCTCATGAATATTCTTTCAAGTCATTACCTAATTCTGCATAATATTTAATAAAATCGTTTCTATTACCGTATATATCATAGTACATTGTACCTATACCTTAATTCTTTCAATCATTTCCTTATTGATGAACATTCAAGTTGTTTCTAGTTTTTTTGCTATTGTAATACTGTAACAAATATCCTTGTACATACATCTTCAAATGTTATTGTTTTTCTTTTGTTAGATTAAAAATCCTAGAAATGATTCTTGAGCCAAAGAGTATTTTGTCCATTTAAATTTCTTAAATAAATACTAGCTAGCATATTACTTCCCAAAAGGTTATAGTAATTTCCATTCGTGAACAGTCTGTGGGGTACTCATACTTTCACCAACATGGAATGTTACCAGTCTTTTGATTTTTACCAACTTGGACTGATAGCAGAATGGCTTGATTTGCTTTGCATTTCTCTGACTACTTGTAAGAGCATCTCTTCCTATCCTTCTTAGTCTTTTCCATTTCCTTTTCTGTGAATTACCTGTTTATAAATTTTGTCAATTCTTCTTTTGTGTTGTTTCTCTTTTTCTTATGAATGTGTAGAAGTTTTTGTACATTAAGAATTATTAACCCTTGTTATATGTGTTGACAACTCTTTCCTACAGTCTGTCTTTGTTTAATTTTGTTTATTTTTCATCCTATAGACTGTTTCAACTATTGTGTAATTGTATCCACGATTTTCCTCTTCTGAACATTTTTTTCTTGCTTAATAAGATTTCCCTACTCTAAGCCCCCTCCCCTACTCTATGTCTGCTCTGAGGTTCTACAAATATATTTTCTCTTTATATCATCCGAAATTGAGGTTTTAGAAAAAAACAGAAGACTGAATTACAAAGAGTGAAGCTCCATTATAAACATATCGAAAAATAATTCTCCCAAGTCTTTTCTCTCATTCTTAAATGTTGTTTATGGAAGCTTATATACGATGTTCTCCGTTTCATCGACACAGTCTTAATTTTTCTCAGAAACAGGCACAAAGTTACCAAACTCAACTCAGCGGTAAAAAACAGTGCACAGAAGACCACAGCTCGGAAGATCCTCAGTTGATGTGTGACCCGGATCACAGTTGCGAAGCCAGTGAAAGAGATGAGTTCATTATTGAAAAACTAAAGTCAGCTGTGAGTGAAATAGCATTAAGCAGGAATAAGTTACAAGATGAAAATCAGAAGCTCTTACAAGAACTGAAGATGTACCAAAGACAGTGCCAGGTGATTCTTTATTTTACAACTGATACCGTCCACAAGTTGTAGAAATCGTGACTGAACAGGTATATGGATTAAAAAGCTAATTTTCTATTCCATGTGTAAATTCAATTCCTAGTTCCTCTTAGTAAGTAATTCTCACTTGATGAGTAAATTCGGCAATCCCATAGATGCTATTCCCCACCAGAGTGAACATGAGTTCTACAGCAGTATAGAATGATGCATGATCAGGATAGAACAGTGCTCACAGACCCCGGGGCCTAACACCTGTGGCCCTCTGGCCCCATGTCGCCTGTGGCCCCACGATTCTCTCTGACCCTGGGCCTCCTTGACTTGCAGGATTCCTGCATTGGAGATCCAGGAGATCAGTAAGGGTTCAACAATCTGATTACCTCAGTGAGAGGCACGGAGGTCACTCCCTGGGATTTACCACCGTTCACTTTACCATGATCATTTGCCAAGTAGCCTGGAGTTCGGGGGTTTTTTGTTCATTTGTTTGTTTTTAGGTAATCTCTACGTTGGCAAATACGATTGCTGGTTTTTCTAAGCATTAATTTTCTTCTTAACCCAACAGTCTTGTCTGTCTCTTCCTTCCTCCCTCCCTTCCTCCTCCTTTCCTCCTCCCTCCCTCCCTCTCTCTCTCTCTCTCTCTTTCTTTCTTTCTT